AGACTTTTCACTTATCTCCTGCCCCACTAACAATGTTCACACTCTTTTGTGGTGTGTACAGCATGCGTTATCACAGCTTTCCACGGCGTTTCAAAACCTGAAGGAGTGGTCCCAAGGTGACCTGACAACTGTCTGTCGGGTACACAAATGCTACAAGCAAAGGGCCAAGAAGAAACTCATGCTATTCAATGGCTTAAATGTCGGCTTATGTGGAGTGATAACGCTCCTTCGAGTCGGTCTGAGTTGCCAGCACCGTTTTGGGGCTCAGGTGCAAACACTTGAAGGAGCAGATCCAACCATGCAAGCTGTATATACCTTCCTGTCGGAATCTGAAGTCCGAACATGACGCAACGACTTGGCCACACGAGGATGAGCAAGCGTTACACTTTCTTTCAAAGGAGGTGCAGACCATCGCAAACCTTTCCAGTGCTTTTGTGTGGCATTTATCTCCATAACAACGGAAGCCAAGACGCAGTGTGTACGATTACAATGCTCTGAATTAACAGCCTTCAGAAGTTTTAAAATGTTCTTTTTTTAGGCGTGAGAGTCAGTATAATTATTTTAAATAATAAACAGGGATCTTGGAACACGCCAGTTTCGAAGTGTTCTGCAGCCAGGTCGGCGTTTGGGGCCAATAGTGCTACAGATGCTGCCAGCAGCAACAGGCACATTGGAGCAACTCGAATGAAGCGAAAAGAAAAGAATGGTTTATTCAAATCATTAGTCGATGTCTTTGCTGCTTGTAGAGGTGCATGCACGTCTGCACCAAGCTAGGAGAACTATTTAAGATCTGGGTAGAGGCGATCTCACTACATGAAGCAAACAAACTAGGTTAAGAAATGTAGGCCGTTGCCAGTCACATAGTAAAAAGTGTTTCCAAGCAGCAACGCTGCATCGCGGTCTATTGTTATGTTTTGTTTGGATCTGAGTGGGCGTTTTGTGTAGAACTAACAAGCGATTCCTCGGGCGCACTCAGGGTTTCTTTCTGGTCGCTCTTCCAAAAGCACAACCCTAGGAAGGTACGCTGAACGACCTCTGCCGCTGGAGCGAAGCCTTCAAGAAGTTCACCAAGATATTTGTTGCTCACGCGGACTATTCACACCCTTTAGGCACTACTGGACTGTGGTGGTCTGCGCCACGCCAGCCGTTACGTTCCGAGGTAGTGAAACGAATTCAACTCTCGGTAATCGGCCTAGACAGCTGCCCTAGTGCATTTGCCTTAGCACAACGAAAGCAGAACTCAAGGTACAATAAAGTACTATTGGAGTTTCTGCTCAAGATGACAAACTCTTTGGGATATATGGATCCACATGTGTCAGGATTCGTTAATCAGGGCTTATTGTGTCTCCAGCGCATCAACGGCACCAAATGAGATAAACATCAACTAGTACACGCCAGCCTCTTTCTGTTTTACTTTTATTTATCCACTATTTAGTCGAGAGATATGAATAACACTGTGAGAGACTGGCTAGTTGTTTTCTTTTCGAAAAGCCCGTAGCAAGTCACTGTCCTGTAAGCCACGAAACGGTGGATGAAGGCGAGGTAGTTAGGAACAAACAATACGCAAAACTGTTCATTAAGTAATATTCCACCTAATGGACAAGGCTCTCTCTAGATGTCTCAGCCAGTATTATTAGTGACATTCACTCTGGCGCGGTGTAAACTGTCTTTTTGGACTGCAGGCGCTTGGAGATAATATGGGACAGCACTTCGATTTTAGGTGAGCTCATTTCCCACTGCGAATATATTGAATGCTGTTCGGTAAAACCACATTTTATAGCGACCGTCACATTTTTATTTGGCAGAGGCATATTTTTGGCAATGAATGCCCGCGCGTATTTATGGCGCATGGCCTCTAGCGGTTTACATTGCACTTAGTGAGTCTCTCTGCGCGCTTGCTCAGGGCATGTGTGCTACGAACTCCGCCAATACAAGAGTAAAGCATCAAGTCTTGAAAGCTTATGTTGCAAATGGGCCTGCAGAGACTACCAGCCATAGCATAGCAGAGGAAACACCTGGTCCCATGAAAAGACTGGCTACAAATCCGGCGCCTGTCACACAGGACAGGGTTGGTCCCAAGGATTGCATCTACCAAGCTCACACCAGTGTCTTGCTGGCTAGAACTGAGAGCTATAAACAAGTGCGTATGATTCCATACTCTCATTTAGAGAACTCATCCTTAGGGTCAACTTCCGGGCGCACATTTACGTAAAAGGACAAAGGCTCGAAAGATACAAGTGCAACTAGTGCAACTAGGAAATTTGAAGAAACCCTTAACAAGTGGCGCTAACCCTCATATTTCTGTTTATGACGCGGAGAATCCTAGATAAATACAGGTGAGCTCCTGGGAAACGCAACGCACTGTTTGTTGGAGCCTGTGGCTAGTATGCAGTTGGTGGGGCAATAAAGACACCGTGGCATGCGCTTAGCAAAACAAAAATCACGGCAATAAGTGTGGACTCAAACAAAGTGATGCTGGGACTCTAACAAAGGGCTGCGGGTAAAGTGTGTGTTCGCAGAGCTATTTCACATTAGGTACGCGAAGAAGGTAAGCCGGCAGACAATAGACCGGGAGCGCTCATATGTATGAAGCCAGACAGATTGTACGACTTCTTGCCGTAAGGAATTTAAGCAACCAAAAGTGAAGGCTGATAATTTTAATGAAGGTGTGACTAACCACTCATTCCTTCGTGTACCTTCCACATGCAAAGGATGACCCCGTGCACTGCTGCGCTAAGGCGATAGGTCGATGCCCGCGAAGTCGGTTTGCAGTGGTTCCTTTGGCTTCTGAAAACTCAAAATTCTGCTCCTTTTCGAGCACGGTTCATCAAAACTATCGACAAGTATAGGCAATGCCATTCTATTGCATAGGAGTTGCAGGCTCGAGATTGCTCTCCTTTGTTGCTCGGATCGCATCGGCAACAGCAGTGTACCGCCAGCTCTACGCACCTTTCATTCGCAGCAAAGCATGGCTTTTCTTACCCAGACAGAGGCCTTCTGCACGAGATCAACAGTTTCGAGCGCTTTGCGCGAGGCATGCGCAGTGTTCGATAAAGGTAGGGAGATCTGCTAGAAGTTCGGCTCCTCTATGCTGAAGCTGAGATCTTGATGAAACTCCTTGCATTGAATTGACCGACTATGATGTCATCTATGCAAATTAGTCAGAGTTCTAGGAGGTGGCGGCAGCTAACCGGGAAGGCATTAGAACCCAAAAAGAATGAGTTAGTTTGCTCCACAGGCGCAGTCTCCAACACAAGTGACGTAGTCGATTGAGTGCAAGCATGAGCAGGCTGAAAGCGGAAGCTTCAGGATACAGCCAAAGTAAGCACAGTATCTGTCGCCGCGTATTTGCATGGTGGAGTTGCGTTTGTCTGAGCAAGTTCAGCAGCCGTTCTGTTGCTGAAGCTGCCTTCATTGGACAAAGCAATTTCTCGACGATAGCAGAAAATTGTGTGTGTGTGTGTTTGTCGAAATAATCCCCAATACAATATTCACTGAAAATGCACTCCTGGCCACAAGGTCAATTCATAACGGTCAACCACTGTCGAGCAACTGGTCGATCTGTTAGCCCCGGGGCCCAAGGCCTTATGAAGCTCCACTGACAGCACGAGTAACAGAGCCGCTGCGCACTGCTAGTAAACGTGCTCATAGGCACAGAGAGTGTGTAAGCATTAGAACTCTGCTAACTCAGCACGGCGCACTGCGCACTGCTAAATGCCAACTAACCCGCAGGCGGCATCTAAACATACGTAGAGACACTTCTGTCCCTATCTTTTCAACCGAAGCAGAGTGATCGAGTCAAGAATACGGAAAATTTAGTTCTTCCCCACCTCGTTGTGTACGCCAGCAACTGAGCAGTTGAAGTGCGCTCGCTGGCTAACCCAGCCCCAAGTCCTAGACACGAGCTTTTCGGTGGTTGTGAATCAGAAACAGGACCAATCGGCTACTAAACAAATAAGAAAAGCCAAAACTGTGGGAGCTACGGCTAGCCCAAGAAGCGCGTTGGGCCACCAGGATCGATGAAGCGAAGAAATAACAAATATGAAAAGTTCAAATATAATAATTCTTGAATAATTCAAATGGTTTAGGTTTGTGACTTTGCCCACACCTTTACTGAGGCTTGGTATCAACAGCATCTCGTGCCCAACATGCAGCCCTAAAGCAGAAGAGCGAAATGGCAAGACAGAAAGGTTACACCAACGAACCAGTTGCTGTCTTGTTACCACAACAGTAAAAATGCCTGTTGATAAAGAGAATCGGTTGAATGCAAAGGCACAAATAATAGTACGTCGTCGGACACGTTCGATTCATCATGCTGATGCATGCATGCTTTGCATGCTCGCATGCTGAGTCGGTGGGCTTGAAAGTAAATGTAAAGCACTCCGGAATGGATTAACATGCGGCTGTGACTCCTTTTGCTCATAGAGATGTAGCGGGTCCCACGTATCCGATTGGATAGTATCCTCTGTACACTGTCCTTGTGCTTCTCCCAGGCGACTTCGACAAGAAAATCAGGCAACTCCTGGACATCCGTTGTTTCTTTTGGTAGATTTGCCGTCTGTCGCCTGTGAAGTATGCATAGTTCGTTTCTTTTTGCTTGATTCAACTCCGACGAATGCACCGGCAGCGAGAGGCGTTGATTGATTCCGAGGGCTTAACCGTGGTTCCACTGGAGAATCGGTGCTGTTGGCTAGGAGCAACACCTCTACCAGTGCAAAACTGAGAATACTGCCGTGGCTTCTTCAAGAGTTCGGTGCTAGCGCAGCACTCGCTGTACAGCTTCGTGCAGGCAAATGCACGCATTGCATAGTGTACGCGTAGGCTTGTCATTTGCCCTTCTCGGTCCCCATAGAGATGTCATAAGCGCATTGGAAACACCTAGGGTAAACTCTAATTGATTTCGTTGTTAGCTCGTACTTGGCCTGCAGTATACGTTGCACTGCTCGTTGATGACTTCTGCGTGAGTGCGTAGCGCTGCCTGTGCTTCATGCAGTATTAAGATGAACATGAGCGCCTTCTTTAGGACGCTGCATATACTGGCGCAGCGTCATTTGAGCGACCACGTCTACAGGGTTCTGGTCGTACGGCAACACGGAGCAGTTAGAATCATTTCATCGTACAGCGGGCGCTAAGTGTGGTAGCATTTCCCTATAAAACATTAGCACTTGGCACTTGCTCGATTCAATGCATGCGGTGTCTTCTGTGATCGCAGAGTAGCCCGGCCTTCCAGAGATTTGCAGCTGTTTCATCTCAGCAGGCCGCTGCAGTGGTGAAGAAAGCGGCGGACACAGCAGTCGTGAGTTCAGTTCTCTCCTGTAGGCGGCTCTTTTACGTTGTCTGTATAGCTTGGGCTTTCCAACTCAGATTTAAAGTGTTCTTTTTCCACACAAATGATGGTATTGCCTGTCCCGTGAATGCAGGGAGTATGGGGGAGCTCTGGATAGCCACTATGCTGTTTCTTGCTCTTCCTGTTGTGCAGAAAGCCGCCGACGTGGCGCGTAAGTTCGCGGGTCCGCCTAAATCCACTGGAGGCAAAAAATAAGTTCGTGGCGCCGCTTAGTATGTGGAGATTTGGGGAAAGCACATCTTCAGCAATAACTGTTCAATCCCTGAGAGCAGCAAGGCTTGAGTGTGCCCAGCTCACGACCCACTATGGCTTAAAGCGCTCTGTTGCGGGTCGCCGCAGTTGCCTGCACAGTAGTGCAGGTTCCAATGTGCGAACAGCAAATAGAGTCAGTGCCTCTTTAGGCAATGGAGAGGCTTCCATAGACAATCGAGGTGACGACACAAAAAGGGAAGCCGGAAAAGAAACGGCGGCAGACGCTGCTAGCTGTATAGAGGAAGCCGCAATAACAACAGCTACAAAAGCGAAATCGGAAGGAGCGGCAGATGGGAAAACGCCGTTGCTTCACCCAGTTTTGCCTAAAAATGGAGATTCCGCGCCGGCGTATTGGGGTTTCTCCCCCATTCCGTTTGTGGCACGGGGGAGGTCCATGCCCGGACAACGGCTACTTCCCTGTACCAAGGAAGATGCTGCAATACTTTCGAAGGCGGCGCCGAAGTACCCTTCTCCCCAGGAGGTGGAGGGAGGGATTATTGTGCGTATAATAGCGGCCAAAGATGTACAGAGGGTTACTTCTCCTGTTTTGAGGGTCGTGCGAAACCGCCAATATGGCATTCGCAAAGGGGAGAGGCTGAAACTGGCACTGGGTGGGGTTCTATTTAGCGGTTTGTTGGCATCACTCGGCTTCTGGCAGCTTCGTCGCATGCACGAGAAGAAGGAACTCATCGAATATAAAATGAAACATTTGGCCAGACAGCCAGCAGTAATATCATCATCGCCATTCCCGTGGACGCTCGAAGCTGTCGCGAATGCCAGAAAACGCATGCAGAACCAGAGCTCTGAAGACGAGTGCTCAGAAAGCAACGTGGCGGAGACTCAGCCTGGGCGGCCAGCTGGCAAACTGCAAACAAATACGCTATCACCGCGACAGACGCCAACAGAGAGGACTGCACAGCGCAGTGACGAGGCGACGGCTGTTGCGTCACGCGTTGGCATAGGTGATGGCGGAAACAGCCGCGGCATTGACCAGCACCAAGAAAGCGTAGCGCAATCTTCAAAAACGCGGATTCAAGGCAGCGGCCGGCTGCTGGCTACCACATGCCCCGAAGACGTTGAAGCGTCGGTGACAGAATGGGCGTACACGCCAGTTGTGCTTCATGGAGTCTTGGACAGCAGCACTGAGTTGCTCGTTGGGCCACGGCCTGGGCTTGACGTGGGGAACCCAGGATACTGCGTGGTGTCACCCCTGCGGCTAAAGGATGGATCTGTTATACTAGTAAATAAGGGTCACTTGCCCACGAAACTTGCGAAATTGCCACCATATCCGAAGTCGGTCGACGAGAACGCTGCGCTGCTTGCGATGGTGCAACGGCAACGGAGGCAGCAGCAACAGCGAACTCCGCTTGAAGATGTATCGGCAGAGCAAATTGACCACCAAGTGAGGGCGATGCAGCAACAGCGCCCGAAGCAAAACTACGTGAACTGCGGTGCACAACAATACCTAGAGCATCTGCAGCAGGTGGCTGGAAGCCGGATGGAAGTAGTCGGCCCCGTGACTGTGCGCGGCATTTTAGAGCCAGGAGAAGTTGCGAATTCGAGTTTCAAGTCTTTGATGCTGAGGAACCGTCCCCATGAGGGCCAGTTCAATGTGCTTAGTCCAAGAGATCTTGTCGAGGCTACGCCAGGCATTCCGAACGTCGCAGAGGCTTCTCTCCTAATGGTAAATGCATACTCCATAGTGTACGATGAGGACCTGCTGCATCTATCTACCAGCTCTAACGACGCTGACGTAGTAGGAGTGGCGAACAGGTTTATGAGCTACGAACAGAAGAAGAAGGATGACTACCTGCTGTTTTACGCTGACGAACATACACACTTTAACTACGCCTGCCAGTGGTTCCTAATGGGGCTGTGCACGGCTGCAATGACTCTTTACAAAATAATAGAGGTGTCCAGATGGCGATGGTAGCCAAGGCACGTGGCACAAAAAGACGCGCCACTCTCTTTGCAAGGTCAGCCGTTGCAGCTTTTGCTGCACTGCGTACCTAACGGTTCGTCGACCCCTCGCTTTCTGGAACCTACGCACAGCGCCTGAGTGCTTTGAACACAGAACAGGCTTGCACGCACTTCTGTCATGAGTAGCTGATTAGTTTGTAGCGGGCTTCTACACCCGTCCGAGTTCGAAACACGCCTCACGGTGCAGAAAGTTTGCACCTAGCTTCTGTCCACCGTTACACCTCCGGCGTTAGAGGGGTGGGGGTCACACTTCATTCAGCAGCAGCTGGAAACTATGAGAGGCTCGATTTGCGAAGCAGACGCAGACACAACTCTCCCCTAACCCTGCCCCTCTTCGGCGCCTGATTCGGAAAAGTAGTTATGCAGAGCGTTTGGAGTCCTCTTCCGCTACGCCTCAGCTGGACATCCATGACGTGGATCCTCCTCTTGACGCCCTTCCCATTCGACTATATCATGTCTAATCTGATTTTGGGGCGACATCTGCTGTTCTAGAGGGCTGTCGGCTCTTGTTGAAGTCGTCAGACTGCCGAGTCCTCGTGCCTGAGATCGCAGCTGCAGCCTTCTCAATCGCCGCTTTCACCTGGGGGGGGCATCTCTCATTATACATTTGGACGCACATAGGGGCTGCTCTCTCATAGGCAGGATTGATAACGTTAAGCCAGAGCCAGCCAGCCCCTTTGAACTGCGGGGACGCGAGCCAATAGAATAGCACACACTTAATTTCGTAGTAGAAAGGAAGGTATTGGAAAAGTAGCGCTAAAGGAGGAAACGATTCAATGCAACAGATCCATGAACATAAAATCCAGAACATGACATGTTGCAGGTGGTCATTCTTCAGGGCCCCACTTGGCGACGCCTTTTCATTCAGCAGCAGCTGGAAGCTCAGAGAAGCCGGATATACAAAGCAGATGCAGAAGCACAACAAAGACCCCAAAAAGGGGCCGAAGAGACTGAAAGCCATCTCTGCGGAGAGGTGTAGTAGTCCCAGACCACAGAGGGAATGTGACAGAAGACAACACAGGCAACGCTGTTGCAGGAACCGAACTCAGAAGCGAGCGCAACTCTACTGTCCCTCTCGCTATGTGTGGTACTGAAAGATAAAAAACTAGAGAGCTTACGTTTAGCGACACCCGCGAGGAGCAAAAGCCACACCACAGCATTGCTGTCGCGGGCTGCTAACTTGCGCTGGGGGGGCAGCCTGTTGCCACTGTAAGGGCGTTAAGGTCAATAAGCCTTCTTTATAGTTATGTGCATCGCTACAAAGAAATAACTGTGTTCTATTTACTTGGGTATGAGTATTTCACTGTCTGCATCTGCCTGTTCTTTTCCCTCTGGGTATTCGGTCTATCCCCGCGGCATGCGGCCCAGTGATATATTGTCCCAATCATATTTTCCATGAATTACACATTGTTTACGTAGCCAACGAAGTTAATGGCTTCACTAGAAAGAACATAGAGTATAGAAGAAGACATGTGGGGTCAATACAGACTCATGAATGTAACAGCACTGCTCTTCGAGACCTAGTACATTGGGGCTGCTCAAAGCCGCTAGAAAAGGCATAAGCTAAAGTGCAATAACTAATCTGACTATTTGTGGGAGAGTATTAGAAGGCAAAAGTGAGGCCAGAAACTGCATAGGGTGTGATTTGTCTTGAATACTGCCAGTCCGTAGATTGGCACAGAGCCACAACCACGACCTTAAGCTGCCAGGGTGAATAGCGTGTCTAACGGAGGCACTCAGAACTCTTTCTGACGTCTCTTTCTGCGCTAATGTGGGTAGATGTCAATGGAGACGCATTCTAGATACCAGCGAAGTGGCAAATGGAGAAGGTAACTACGGGCACAGCGTCGCTTTCTACGTTCCTGAATGAATAATAAGCGCATTTCCGGGAAGAGTTAGCACGGTGGCTAGCTCTATATAAAGGCTTCACAAAACTGTAGACACCATGTGATGCAGTACAGGTGATTTGGGAGAAGAGAAGGAGACTCCATAGAAAAGGGACTGTCTGACAACAATGGCCCACCAGAGAGAGCCAGGTAGGTGCAAGGGACTTCCCGAGGCTCCGCCGCTCCCCTCAACATCTAATCCACGTAAACTGTCGGTGAGAAATGCTGTAAACACTTCCAATGAAACTGTCATGGTATGCGTGTGCAAACAGAGGCAAATAGAAACCGCGGCGTGGCTTTGGTGTCTGCTTAACAGGGAACGCATCCAACGACCAGCAACCGACGTCCATTTTGCCCTCTTCGCTACACGGCTTGTTGCACCATCCATCCTTTATTTTTAAACACTGGTGATTTTGCGTGACAGACAAAACAAATCTGTATTCGTTCTAACCCCGCCATGTCTACATTTGGAGAACAGTAGGCTTCCAGCCCTTCTCCATTATTGATACCAAAGATAGCATCCTTTTATCCCTTTTGTGTTCCTCGATACTTTAAGGGTAAGCTGGATCAGTTTTATAGCTCGATCATCATGCTAATCTGCATTTACAACAAGGACCTCAATCTTCTAGCCCTATATGCCTGCTGCATCTTGGTAGGCCGAATTTGTACTAAAATAATCCCCAAAACGTTAATTATGTGTAAATCGGATCAAAAGAGCACAACAAATTTTTCCGACTTTAATGACCGCCGTCCACCTTGACGCCTACTGGCTCCTTTCCTCTCTTTTGGTTTTCCCGCCCACCACAAGAAGCTTGTGCAGGTTTCCTTTCGCCTGACGCTTACTGGCTCCTTTCCTCTCTTTTGGTTTGCCCGCCCGTGGACTACCACCAAACGATTGATGAGGCACTTACACTCTAACATGTTCGAGGTTCCTCCGCGGCTGACCGCCAATCAACGGTGTCCCAAGGGGTTCAAGGATTTTGGGAGCTCCAGTCGCTTCGCAAACGAGCAAAAACAACATTACCCGCTCCATAGCTAACGTTGTATATGTTGTAACTCGTGTGTTGAACCATGCAAACTGATCAGGAGTAACTTATCGCTAATCCACGCCTGCTAATCCCTGGTTGTGTTGCCTCGCTGATGAAACTTTCTTCTGCCACCGACGCCCCACGCAAGAGGGCAGGAGCACGAGAAAAAATCAGTTTAACGAGGCAACTTATCCAAGAAAGTAAGCTTTTCGTGGATGCGTTTACAGTCCGCCTCCACAAACGAGCCTTTTCTGAGCCTCCACCTGAGGTTGCGTCTCGTAGATCTGGATCTTCAAGTCTGCCTGGCACACTCCAAATTGCATGTAGTCGTGGAGGCACAAGTATAATTGGCCCTCGCTTTTGGGACCAGTTTATGTCGTCGGCAGATATTGGCCAGAGCGCCCCATCACTAAAGTCAGCTCCAAAAAGCCCAAACGAAACCCCTTGGGCACTTCGGTCGTAGATATTATATCTGGAAATTGTTGCAACAAGCTTCCGGCACTGCACACTCCGTTCTCGTTTTATGCCATGTAGCCATTTGGTGGCTATGCTGCCCTGAAGCTTGTTGAAACCCCTGCAGCTCCTGCTGGCACTTTTGCTTGACTTATGCACAAGACCCGTTACAGGTTCCACATTCTTCGTTAGAAATAAGCATCCTGTGCACAGAAGCCTTGGGAACTACTTGCTTGATAACAGGAGCTACGAGGAGAAGATTAACCGGATCGTGTTTGCCAAAGGGTGAACCTTTCGTTAGCCGGCGTTATAACATTTCTGCTACCTATTCAAACAGGCCAGAGGAATGGCGTAGCTCATGCTCACTTTTTTTAACCCAAGCAAGACACATGCACACGGCTTCACTTCCTTTTAAAAGCAGGAGCTAGAGGCTGTGGTCATCGTGCATGGTGGTGCTCGGACTGCTATGTACAGTTGAAGCATTTCTAAAGCGCACACCTTGTACAAACTCTTTCACTTCGTTGCGTGCGCTTTATTCTCTTATCAGGTGGAGAACGCAACTACCATAAAAAAAGCTTTTTAAAAGGTTTCAGGCGAGGCCCGCTGCCGCTCACTCCTTTACAGTGAGGGTCACTCCATCAGTCAATGCGACATCCCGGCTGTTCCGTGCGCGTGCACTATTTCTCACACTAGTGAGGAGCCGGGGATGCTTGTATTCACTGCAAACGTGCCGATAACTTCTCCGTGAATCCACCGACGCTTTTTGAGCAGCATTAAGTACGAGACTCATAGCCCAAGACCAGCTGTCCCATTCTCAGTGCATGGAGAGTGTCTCCAGTTGCACGAGTAGACCACTGACAAATACGGCCGCATTGATTGAAGGCACACAACTCATACTTCATAAAGGGCTTGCTTTCTAAGTAGGGTAAGATTCATATGAGGAGATGGAGGAGCGATACAACCACCAGATGGCCTTGCTGCAATTGCAAAGCCCAGCAGCAGTTATTAGATCCCCAAGCCCTGTGGCAGTGACAGCTGCAAGTCTTTCAATTGGGCTTAGCTTTCCTCCTAACATGACGCCGATGGATGCTGCGTAGCCTCTGATGACGCTCCTTAGTGGGAACCTCAGTAGTAGTTAGTAGTAACAGGAACAACTTTGCCTGAGCAGCGGGTGGCATCTCGTAGTGAGCTAATCTAGTTTTGCGTCCACTGGCCTCTCTCGCTCTGATTGCAGAGTCTGAAACCTGCCAGTACTTACTCAAAACGTCGTCAATAAACAAAAGGGGGTTCAAACAAAATCAGCGTAGGTCCGTTATCCCGAGGGACACATACATCTTTCTCGGCGCGTTTCTTCGTTCCTTCGTTACATTGCCGCCCGCTGTGGCTTCGGCAACTCCCCTTGCCAGACACAACAGCGGGGCCGAGGTTCAGACCACACTGGGCCTCATCACTTCATAACACACTTTCTTTGTACGGTAATTGCTTCTGGTTATTGCATGAATCTACGCACCATTGATTTATATATGACCAAGAAAGCTATTTCTGGGCTGCAGGGCAGTTCCGCACACTACAATTTCCCTCTTCTC